ACCGGCGCCGCCGCCTCCCCGGGCGTTTGCAGGGAGACGCCTCGCGACGAACGCGAGGCTTCCCCGGGCCTTTTAAACGAGTGACACGATTGAAGCGCGGTTCACGGGAAACGCGGCTGTTGTGAGCGGACGCGGGAGTTCTGAGAATCCTCAGCAGCAGGAGCCCCTGCCCCGCGGGGTGCGGGCCCGTCCCCCAGAAAGCGCGGCCGTCCGGGTCTGTTTTTGAGGGTCGGTCGCCAGGTGGTTGTGTAGTTAGTGGAATCGGCGGAGGTTTTTGTTTGCCTGGCCCAGCGCCGTCCCGAGTGCCGTGTGCTGCTCACAACTTCGCACAACTCAGCGGCCGCGGCTCCCGTGGCCTTTAGGGAGAGGCCCGGCGCGTGGTCGGCTTCTCCCTGGGCGGGCGGTGGGAAGAGGGAAGCGGCCGTCTTGTGGGCAGCAGCCTTCCCTGCTTTTGGCCCGCAGAGCTCCTCAGGATGTACTTAAGGGAATTATTCCTCGAGAAGCGACGTGTGTGCCCCCGCGGATCCCCCCCGGTGGAGATGCGTGTCCCAGCACGGACAGAACCGGCCCAGGGGGGAAGCGGGGAAGCAGGGAAGGGCGTGGGTCGCCCTGCGCTGCCGAGGGTCTACTCTCCCCGGGTCCCGGTTCCGTGTTGAGAGCTGCTGTGGCCGTGAAGCCTTCGGTTCAGTTCTCCTCTTGTAGAAAGTGTTGAGATAAAGAGCTTCGCGGCTCCCTGGGAGAGAGTGGGTTTCCGGGGGCTGCTTGTCGTTAGGGCGACTCAGGACTTTGCTGTCGAGGGGAAAATTACGGGTTCGTTTCTGATCTGGTGAGTAACCAACTGTTGCTTCTGCCCCACCTCAGTAATGACGCGTGTCGCCGTCCCGGGTGCACTGGGGTAGCTCTGCAGGCTGTGGTGTCACCTCTGCAGGGCTCCCAGGGCCGGCTGGGCTGTACTGACAGCTCTCCAGGAATCCAGGGTTGAGTGGGTACCTGGAGGCCCTGGAGATGCAAGGGGGCTGAGGTTTGGCTGACCACATTTTCTCTCCTGTCCTCTCTGTAGGTAATTGCAATCTAGTTTCAACATACAATGAGGATTTCTGTCTGATACAGAGAAGGATACACAGTGGCTGGAGGGTCTGTCTTAAGAAGTGCCCTTGAAGTCGGCTGGGATTTCCTTTCGGGACTCACAGAGGGAAGCCTGCTCCCTGAGGGCTTTTTCTGAGGCCCAGTAGCTCTAGGCCCGGGGTGAGGCTCTGAAGCCAGGCTGCTGCGGGTGCCCCTGCTCCCCCTGGGCCCCGAGGCCAGGCGTCCCTGACCTTGCAGGGCTAGATGCAGAGTGGGCCTTGGGCTTCAGCTGAGAATATTTGTTTTGCGAGTCAGTCAGTGAAAAATCATCTTGCTTCCTGTCAGTGAAGTGTGGCGCTTTGGAGGGAGGCACTGCCCGGCGGGTGGTGGTCTTCACTGGAGGTGCCCACACACGAGGCACCCCGGGGACAGCTGGGAACAGACACAGTCTGTGGTGTTCGAACAGCAGAGGCCTCTGCCACAAGGAGCTGGAGGTATGGGTGGCAGCTCACTGATTTTGCCCACCTCTGGAAAGGCAAATTCTCCTAAAACTCTGTGACCAAGTCTTCAGGCGCCTGAGCCAGCGCTGGCAACCCTCCTGGTGAGGGTCTCTGCAAGCTTCTAGGGGGTCCTGGGGGCCGCCCCTCGCTGTGTAGCCTGAGCAGAGCGTCTACCTTCACGTGTGCCGGGGAGAACAGAGAGATGCCCTTTGGTGTATTGCACGTATCCGGATTCGCTCGGAAAGGAGGAGGACATGGCCAGCACCATTGTCTCACTGGGGCTTGAGGAGTGCCCCTGAGGGGAAGCGGCAGGTTGACTCGGCCTGTGGGTGTTTCCATGGTGGTCACTGCCAAGGCTCTGCAGAAGTGGGGTTAGGGCCTCCCAGGGGCGAAGACTGTCCCCTCAGACCAGTACAGGGCTCCCCTGTTGGTCCCCTGTGCTGTGGTGTGCGTGTGGAGGGCCTGTCTATAGAGCATGGACAGACTGTGGTCTGTCTCCTAGCCCTAGCCCAGCAGGAATGCTGCAAGGACCGTGGTGACTTTGGGCTCATGTGGGTGCTCTCCTGGGAGCAGTGGGGAGGGGAAGAGTGGTTTAGGGGGAGTATCCGATAGGACCAGGTAGCCACTGAGCATGCCTCTCTGGTGGGCATAGCCTCTGTGTCTGGTGAGGTCCAGCCCTATATGTGGACTTCCTGGGGGATCGCCTGCATGCCAGGAAAGTCCTGCAGCTGTGGGCTCTGGGCCAGACCCCTCCTTCTTGGGGAGCATTTCTGTGGTCTCCGCAGCCTGTTGGTGTGGTCTGAGAGGGGACTGAGGCGTGGTGATAGGGATGCAGGTGCTCAGGAGGGCTCCTCAGGCTGCCTCTCTGCCTGTTACCGCTGTTCTCTCACTGGTCCTGGGGAGTTGCTCGGGCCTGGATGCGTGATTTTTGACACCTCGGAAAGAAGTTAGTTGTGAGTTTTGCTTTGATTGGGTTTTGAGCTGGTGAGCTAGATCTGCCCAAGCGTACTTTTGCAGCTTTCTCGAGTCTTTGGTCACCCTGCATAGAATTAACTTTACCTTTGCCTTTATTTTAGGTAATCATTACCAAATGAGGAGGAAAGGACGATGTCATCGAGGCTCTGCAGCGAGGCATCCTTCCTCCCCGTGCAGTGTTAAACACTCCCCCACGCGAGAAACGCTGACCTACGCTCAAGCTCAAAGGATGGTAGAGATAGAAATTGAAGGGCGCTTGCACAGGATCAGTATTTTTGATCCCCTGGAGATCATATTAGAAGATGACCTCACGGCTCAAGAGATGAGTGAATGCAACAGCAATAAGGAAAACAGCGAGCGGCCCCCTGTCTGCTTAAGAACTAAGCGTCACAAAAACAACAGAGTCAAAAAGAAAAATGAAGCCCTCCCCAGCGCCCACGGCATGCCGGCCTCGGCCAGCGCCCTTCCAGAGCCCAAGGTGCGCATCGTGGAGTACAGCCCTCCGTCCGCCCCCAGGAGGCCTCCGGTGTACTACAAGTTCATCGAGAAGTCGGCCGAGGAACTGGACAACGAGGTGGAGTACGACATGGACGAGGAGGACTACGCCTGGCTGGAGATCGTCAACGAGAAGCGCAAGGGCGACTGCGTCCCCGCCGTGTCGCAGAGCATGTTTGAGTTCCTGATGGACCGCTTCGAGAAGGAGTCGCACTGCGAGAACCAGAAGCAGGGCGAGCAGCAGTCTCTGATCGATGAGGACGCCGTGTGCTGCATCTGCATGGACGGGGAGTGTCAGAACAGCAACGTGATCCTCTTCTGCGACATGTGCAACCTGGCCGTGCACCAGGAGTGCTACGGGGTGCCCTACATCCCCGAGGGCCAGTGGCTCTGCCGCCACTGCCTGCAGTCCCGGGCCCGGCCCGCCGACTGTGTGCTGTGCCCCAACAAGGGTGGTGCCTTCAAAAAGACAGATGACGACCGCTGGGGTCACGTGGTGTGTGCCCTGTGGATCCCAGAGGTCGGCTTTGCCAACACGGTGTTCATCGAGCCCATTGACGGGGTGAGGAACATTCCCCCAGCCCGGTGGAAACTGACATGCTACCTCTGTAAGCAGAAGGGCGTGGGTGCCTGCATCCAGTGCCACAAAGCAAACTGCTACACAGCATTCCATGTGACGTGTGCCCAGAAGGCTGGCCTGTACATGAAAATGGAGCCCGTGAAGGAACTGACTGGTGGTGGCACCACCTTCTCCGTCAGAAAGACCGCTTACTGTGATGTCCACACACCTCCAGGCTGCACCCGGAGGCCTCTGAATATTTACGGGGATGTCGAAATGAAAAATGGCGTCTGTCGAAAAGACAGCTCGGTCAAAACGGTCAGGTCCACATCCAAGGTCAGGAAGAAGGCAAAAAAGGCTAAGAAGGCTCTGGCTGAGCCCTGCGCGGTCCTGCCGACTGTGTGCGCTCCTTACATACCCCCGCAGAGGTAAGCGTGTCCAAGCATTGGGTCCACAAGGCGCCTGCAGTGCAGGACCCTGGGAGGACGCAGGCACAACCTGCAGGGCCCGTGCTGGGTGATCGTTGCGCTTCCTGTTGGCGCAGCTTCCTGATATTCCCCTGAAGTGTGGTTCTGCTTGTTTACCACGTCTTTTCGCGGAATAGATGTTGTAAAAGATTTTAGTCTGTAGGCTTGGAATGATCTATAGTTTTCTAGATTTTTTTTTGAGATGGAGTTTCGCTTTGTCGCCCAGGCTGGAGTGTAGTGGTGCAATCTCGGCTCTCTGCAACCCCCGCCTCCCAGGTTCAAGCAATTCTCCTGCCTCAGCCTCTTGAGTAGCTGGGACTGCAGGCATGCACCACCATGCCTGACAAATTTTTTTTTTTTTTTTTTTGAAACGGAATCTTGCTCTTTCGCCCAGGCTGAAGTGCAGTGGTGCAGTCTCGGCTCACTGCAAGCTCCGTGTCCTGGGTTCACGCCATTCTCCTGCCTCAGCCTCCCGAGTAGCTGGGACTACAGGCACCCGCCACCACGCCTGGCTAATTTTTTGTATTTTTGGTAGAGACGGGGTTTCACCATGTTAGCCAGAATGGTCTCGATCCCCTGACCTCGTGATCCGCCTGCCTCGGCCTCCCAAAGTGCTGGGATTACAGGCGTGAGCCATTGCGCTCGGGAAATTTTTGTATTTTTAAAATAGAGACAGGGTTTCACCATGTTGGCTAGGCTGGTCTCAAACGCCTAACCTCAAGTGATCTGCCCACCTTGGCTTCCCAAAGTGCTGGAATTATAGCACTTGCTCAGCTTTTTTTTTTTTTTTTTTTTTTTTCTATTTTCAATGAGGTTTTTCTCTGTTGCCCAGGCTGGAGTGTAGTGGCACGATCTCAGCTCACTACAATCTCTGCTGCCAGCTTCCAGCAATTCTTATGCCTCAGCCTCCCGAGTAGCTGGGACTATAGGCGTATGCTCCTATGCCCAGCTAATTTTTGTATTTTTAGTAGAGGTGGAGTTTCACCATGTTGCCCAGCGTGGTCTGGAACTCCTGAGCTCAGGCAGTCTGCCCACCTTTGCATCCCAAAGTGCTAGGACTATAGACGTGAGCCACCATGCCCAGCCAAGGGTGAAGATTTTTAAGAATTTCAGTGACTAAATTTTAAGAAGGAATGAAGCCCACACAGAAACTCTGTATGACTTTCAACCTGAGGACCTCTGGCCTGGGCTTCCCAGTGACTTCGGCATCGGGACATCCACTGCTGTGGCGTTGGCCCCGTTTCCCGTGCTGTGCCCCCCACTTGCTGCAGATGCCCTGAGGACAGGGTGGCCAAACAAGGGGAGAAGCTGTGAGCACAGACGGGGCCTGCTGGTCAACAGGGCGGGGAGAGCCAGCCTGGTGCTGAGCTTGCAGCTTGGCTGGGGGAGATGCATGGAGCCCCAGTACCACACAGACCTTCCAGGACTGCTGGGGGTCAGCGAGCAGGACCCTCTGAGGTGTCAGACCTGCTCCACATGTGAGGGGAGGGCAGCACAGGGGGGACGCATGCAGGCTGAGCTGCATTGGATGGTGAGGCTGGGAAGTTGCAGTGAGCTGAGATTGTGCTGCTGCACTCCAGCCTGGGTGACAGAGTGAGACTCCGTCTCAAAAAAAAAAAAAAAAGTTTTAAGTGATTTTTGTTAATATTACTCTACTTTGCCAAAGTGAAGTGCAGTTTTCTTTTCACAGAGCTGTAAATACTCAGAGAATGAGTCAGTTCAGACAGAATGAACAAAAAATGCTCATAATCCTTCCCATCCAGAGAAAACCCCTGTGAAAACCAAAGTGTTTGTCTTTGTAAATTAATCTGACTTTGAAGAGATGGTTTTGCTTGGATTTCTACCTATGAGTCAAAAAGTCTAGGGTTTGTATTAAGAGCTTCTGTATAAGAGGTCTAAAAATTTCAGCTTTACTGAAATTGAAGCAAAATAAGCAAAATGTGATCTAACGAAATGAAGAGCCAAAAGCCTGAAGTGCTCCCTTCCCTGGCCAGTACCAGATGATGACCTGCTCTGGGAGAGGCAGGGCCTGGCCGGGCCCCACGCCCTATTCTTTGGCTGCTGGTGTTGGGTAAGCAGGACTGTTTGCAGGAGGCAGCGTTTGCATGCAGAGACGCGGGGGCCTGAAGTGGCCAGGGCTGATTGAGAAGAAAACTCGTGCTTTGGACCTAAATATTTGAAAGCAGGTGTTGGAGCTAGACCACGTACTATGTGTTTCTGTTCTTTTCCTAACTTAGGAATAAACTATTATTTTATCTTCGAGTAGAGAGAGAGAAACAAACCTGGACAAGTGTTCTTGGCCGCAGTCTCTGCAGTCTGGGTTTCCCAGTCTCCGGGAGATGCTGGTGCTTCAGGCCACCTTGCCACCAGTGGAGGAGCTCCCAGTGCGCCTGGCCTGTTGGCACCATGGTGCTGGACCCATCTCTGGGGTGGTTGTGAGGGGCAGCCTCTCAACACAGTATTGACTGCTGCCTGAAACCAGGTTTATAGCCTTGCTGTGGCCTGAGAGGCAGCTGATCTGGCAGCCCTGTTCTTAGGCCCTGGGCACTACCCTGGGTGCATGTAGGAAGCCTCAGCTGTGCATTTGAATTTTGTGTAGATGAGGGTGAAGCTTCTTACTTGTTTTTTATTTTGTGTTAAAGACAGGGTCTTGTTCTGTTGCCCATGTTGGAGTGCAGTGGCGTGATCATGGCTCACTGTAGCCTCAAACTCTTAGACTCAAGCAATCTTCCCGCCTCAGCCTCCTCCCATCCTCAGCTGGGACTACAGGCACGAGCCACTGTGCCTGGCCCATGGTGAAGCTTCTCGATGTGCAGCTGTTGGCAGGGATGCTGAGTCTAGTTGGTTAGGGTGTGCACTAACCCATGGCTCTGGGGTAGGGCCTGTCTAGAGCTTCAGGCCAGCCAGGCACACTGGAAGAGGACGTGACCCCATCTAAGCAGTGTTTTGGAGATTTTAGAGAAAGGGGATCTTGCTTATTCCCTGTGGACAGAACAGAATCTGCCTTTAGGGACTGACTGCTTTTATTTATTTTTATTTTTGGAGACAGAGGCTCGCTTTGTTGCCCAGGCTGGAGGGCAGTGCCATCCGTGATCTCGGCTCACTGCAACCTCTGCCTCCTGGGTTCAAGGGTTCAACCTCTGCCTCAGCCTCCCTAGTAGCTAGGATTACAGGCACGTGCCACCACACCCGGCCCATTTTTGTATTTTTAGTAGAGACAGGGTTTCACCATATTGGCCAGGATGGTCTCGAACTGCTGACCTCAGGTGATCCACCCGCCTCGGCCTCCCAGAGTGCTGGGATTACAGGTGTGAGCCACTGCACCAGGCTAAAAAAGATAGTTTTTTTAAAAAGACAGCAGTAAATAAACACTTTCAAAAACAGGCAGGGCTGGGTGCGCGATTCACGCCTGTAATCCCAGCACTTTGGGAGGTGCTGAGGTGGGCAGATCACAAGGTCAGGAGTTCGAGACCAGCCTGGCTAACATGGTGAAACCCCATCTGTACTAAAAATATAAAAAATAGCCAGGCGTGGTGGTGCACACCTGTAATCCCAGCTGTTCAGGAGGCTGAAGCAGGAGAATCTCTTGAACAGAGTCCTGTTCTTTTGCTCAGACTGGGGTGAAGTGGCATGATCATGACTTACTACAGCCTCAACCTCCTGGGCTCAAGCGACTCCCTCACCTCAGCCTCCTGAGTAGCTGGGACCACAGGCATGTGCCACCACGTCCTGCTAATGTTTTTATTTTTTGGTGAGATGGGGTTTAGGTTGGTCTTGAACTCCTGGGCTCAAGTGATCTGCCTACCTTGGCCTCCCAAAGTGCTGGGATTACAGGTGTGAGCCGCCATGCCAGACCTTACATTGATTTATTGTTATTTTTTCTTTTCTGTTCATCTCTCTTTTTTTTTGAGATGGAGTCTCACTCTGTTGCCCAGGCTGGAGTGCAATGGCATGATCTCGGCTCACTGCAGCCTCCACCTCCCAGGTTGAAGCGATCCTTGTGCCTTAGCCTCCTGAGTAGCTGGGACTACAGGTGTGAGCCACAGTGCCTGGCTAATTTTTGTATTTTTAGTAGAGTTGGGGTTTCACCATGTTGCCCAGGATGGTCTCGAACTAGTGACTTCCGGTGATCCGCCCGCCTCGGCCTCCCAAAGTGCTGGGATCACAGGCGTGAGCCACCGCGCCCGGCCCTGTTTCTTCTTCTCACTGCCTGTCTCCAGCATACATCAGTGTTTGTTAACAGGGATTGAGCTGCATCTGTAGAGGATGGCATTTTGTCTTTAGCATTAGAGGAAAAGAGAGTCTTTTCCACCTGCACCGGGTTGAAATCAGGGCTCCCTTAACGTGAACTGCTGCAGGACTCATTCACATGAGGGTTCATACATGCAGTGAAAAGACGAACAGGGTTTCATGGTCACTGTTTTTGGTTAATTGCATGAAATGAGGGATAAATACACGCATAATCTGTTTAACCAAACTCCTAGGTTCATCAGCATGCAAAATAGAAAGTGTCTTAAAAGAGACTGTGATCAGCAGGCAGACAGCCTGTGTTGGTTTGTTTCCTCTGACTGCTTCAGCTCTTCTAGAGGAGCTCCTCGACTAAGAGAGCCTGAACTTCTCACCTCATGGACAGGAACCTCAGATAGGCAAGGCTTTCTGAAGGTGCTCCTCCTACCTTCATTCAAATGAGGTGTTCCTCCCGCCTTCACCCTGATACGGTGCTCCTCCCGCCTTCACCCTGATAGGGTGCTCCTCCCGCCTTCACCCTGATAGGGTGCTCCTCCCGCCTTCACCCTGATAGGTAGAGTGTTCCTCCTGCCTTCACTGGGGACTTTTTATTTTTAGTTTAAAAGGATCAACTGGTCTTGGTCAGCCTTAGGAAGGGAAGCATCAGTCAGGTGAAAATGCGCGGCGAACTTTAAATACCTAGCTGCTTCTCATCATGCATTTAAGTTCGATTG